CTCTAGAGCCAGGTTTCTTGCTATCCCCATAATGGCTCCCCTAATCAAGATATCTCTTTCCTTGCTTTCATATCTGTCCTTCCACCATTTCGACTATCCCGTTCCCTCAAGTTCTCCTCCCGCTTCCACTTCTCCCATTGTCTTTACCTTATGTCCTCCCTATTCTCCCCACATGCCCCATGCTCCCAATTTTTTCAGGCAATCTTGTCTGTTGTCCTTTTCCAGGTGGATCTATGTATGTTTTTCTTAGGGCTCACCTTGTTACTTAGCTTCTCTAGAGTCATGACCTATAGGCCCAAAGTCCTTTGCTTTACAGCTAGTATCCACCTATGAGTGAGTACATACAATATTCAACTTTCTGGGTCTGGGTTACCTCACTCAAGATGGTTTTTTTTATAGTTCCATCCATTTGCATGATTGCATATTTTTTAAGTCAAGAAATTTATGGGGTATTTTATCTTTTCACAAAAGAATATGCAAGGACAGATAGCTTTACTGATGAGTTCTACCAAATAGTTAAGGAAGACATAATATGAGATATTCAGAATCTCCTTAAAGAACTGACAGAGGGGACATTACCCAACTCAAATAATGGAGTTAGTACCACTCAAATTCCAAGTCAGAGAAACGGATCACATAGAAATAAAAATGCAGAGCAGTATTACTTGTGGAAACAAACACAGACAGAGTCCTAAAAAACATTAGCCATCAAAATTCAGCAATGTGTAAATGTATCACAGGCATGTCTCAATGAGTTTTATTTCAGATATGTAATGTTGATTGAATATTGATTATGTCGCACATCATATTGGGATGAATAGAGAACAAACAGCCCAAGACCATCTCAATAGATGTAAAAGAAGAAATAAGGGAGGGAAATAAGGAGGAGGAGAATAAAAGCAGAAATAGGATAAAGGAAGGGGAAGAGAAGGAGGAGATTTTCCAAAAATCTAAAAGTCAGTGTAAATTCATGAGAAAAATTCTCAACAAATTAGGTAGGTAAGGCAGCTTCCTAACATTGATCAGAATTTTACAAACAAAAATGAAAACAAAGGAAATACAGATTAATATTTTATTCAGTGATGCAGTAATGAATGCTTCCCAAGATGAGAACAAGGCAAGAATTTGTAGTTTCCTCACTTCTATTCAACGTTTCTCTGGGGGTGCTATCAAGTGTAGAAAGTAAATAAGTAAATGCAAGGACCTGAAGGCATTCAGATTGAAAAAGAAGAAAGAAAATTGAATGCAGGACAGAGGGCATGATCCTCTGTGTGGAAAATACCGAGGAACACACACATGCACATATATGCACACACATGGTAAAATGAATGAACAGTTTAGAAGAATGACAAGATGAGAGACCACTATACAGCATTCAGCTGTGTTTGTATGTCCTAGAAAAAATTACGAAAATCAAAGGTTTTCAAGTATCATTCATGTTATCATCAAAGTCAACATACTTCAGAATATATTCGATAAAAAATATAATAAAGATTTAGGCACCAAAAACTCTAGATGATTGCTGAGAGAAAATAAAGATCTAAATAACAGAAGCTAGGAGTCTGAATACTGTCAGCAGGAGTATTAGCCTGAAGTGGATGTTGTAATAAAATGCTATAGTGTCAACAATACTGCAGCAGGCTTTTGTGTAGAAATTGATAATCCCATACCAACATGCATTTAAAATAAAGAAATTATTTTGAAAAGGAAAACGCTACCTGGTTTGAAGCACAGACATCAAAGTGCTTAGTAATGACACAATAGCAGCAGACAGAATTGAGAATCTGTTCACAGTCAATTGATTTTTGACAAATATGGCAACGTAAGTCAATAAAGAGAAATTGGGTTTTTTCAACGAATAATCTGAGATGCTTGAATTTCACATGCAGAAAGACAGATCCTTATCATATATCATATAGACAAAATTTAAATCAAAATGGGTTAAAGACTTAAATGTATAAAGCTTTTAGATTAAAAAATAAAGTCAGGCCAAGGTGATTCATGCCTTTAATCCAAGAACTTGAGAGGTAGAGGCAGGTGAATCTCTGTGAGTTCAAGGAGAGCCTGGTGGACAGAGTTCTAGGACAGTCAGTGCAATACATAGAAACCCTATCTCAAACAGCAAGAACAAAGAAAATTTTCTGACTTTGACCTGGATGAAAATTGTAAATACAATATCCAAGGCACTAAATCTAAAATGTAAAATTAATGAATCTGTTTTTTAAATAAAAGATTTTATGCATCATCAGGAAAAAAGTAAGCAGATCAACCAGAGTATGAGAAAGAAATTTGCAAATTGTATATCTAATAAGAATTTGTATCATGAATATATAGATAATAGGGTAGTGGGGGGATAGTCTAGTTGGTAAAAATCACCCACCATACAAATTATAGGGCCTGAGTTCCAATCCAGAGAACCCATGTAAACTGTACATGTAATACAGTGCATGGAGCAGACTCTAGGTACATATTTCTTGGTTGACAAACACAAGAAGTTACTCTCAGTTATTCACACCTTGTTGCTACTCTGCTTCCTGAGAGTGGACTCCAGGGTCCCATGAGTAGGATCAGAAGCTCTGAACACAGGAAAAGCTCGCTGCTTAGGATCATAGAAAGAGAAAAATATGGCCTGGAATACCATGGCCATCTCCTGGTTGATGTGTGTAGAGATGCTGTTTCTTCTTGACTGATATGACTGTCCCTACCTTGAATCACAGCACCTATGACCACCTGCCTGAGAGCCTCCCAAGATCAGGCCAATTAACCCATCTGCTCCCTGAGATTATGCAAGGTGTAAACAATGGGTGGGAATGGGACTTTTCTGTGATGTGGCTGCCAGTATAAATGCTACAGGGAACTAATCTTGGAGTTGCTCATGCCCTGGTAAATAATTTAGACAAATACTTTTTCCCTTTGGTTTCTCAGGTTCCTCTTTATCTGGGACAGATAGATGTTTCTTTATGTCTCCCCAGGAAAAAGTCACACAATGATGTGACACCTTGAGAGTTTGGTTCTGTTATTCATTAAATATGGTTGGAGTGGGTCCCGCAATGATTTATGTGCCAGCCTCTATCCAGTACAGGGGTGTTGAAGTGGTGGCATGCTGCAGAGGCAGGGTAAGGTGAAGAATAATTAGATCCCTGGGACACTCCCCCTAAAAGGGATTAGTGTAATTTCCATAGTTCTCCCCATAGTTCCCACATAAATGTGTTGTTTAAAAATAAAAACAAAACAAAACAAAAATGAAGAGGACCCAAGTTTAGTTCCTAGCACCCATAGTAGACTGTTCCCAACTACCTGTAAATTCAGTACCAAGGGATCTAGCGCCCTCTTCTGGCCTCCATGGGCACTTGCACTCACATGCTCACACACATCAATTCACATACATTTAATTTTAGAATAAAATAAATCTTTTTTAAATGTCTAGCTTCCAGATCCCTTTTGTTTCCTGTCTCACCAAGTGACTTCTCTCTCTCTTCTACACATGCTCCATGATGATCTCCACCATGTCCTGATGTACAATCAAAGCCTTGACAAAGAGCTGAATGGATAAAGTTACCAAATCTCAGATTTAAGGCCTCCAAAACTCTAAGATAAGCAAAGATTTTTAAAGAAAACACTCAAACTTGGGCATTTTGATACAGAAGTACAAAGTGTACTCACAGGCTGCCGAAACACTGCGTCACAGACTCTTGCTACGCATGCTGGAGTCACCGGACAAATGCCACCATACTGTAGACCTTCATGGCTTTCCAATCACACAGGGCAGTTAACCTGTGCTGACACCTTGTGCTTGTGTAGTCTTCTTCGAGAAAGGCTAGGTAGCCTTAGCTTTATCTACTACTGTGATTGAGTGTATAAAACATGGAACCAACTATGATCTATAGAAAATGAAACTTCAACTCTAGCACTATCACGTAACACCATAAAAGGAATTCTGTAACATGGAAATCCCTGCCTGATTTTCCTGCTTGCTGCTCACCTGCCCTTTGGATTTTGCTTTTTTTTCTTTTAAATTATGTCATTTATTCATTCAGTTAGCTAGTTAATTATTTGTGTGTGTGCATGTGCGCACATGCATTGCCGTAATCTGTGTGTGGAAGTCAAAGAACGAACTGTAGGAGTCAGTTCGCTCCTCCCAGCATATTTGGGTCCCAGATCACACTGGGTACCGAGGCTGACAGTGAAAGTCTTTGTCACCAGAGCCATCTCGTTAGCTCTGTCCTATGGATTTTTAATTGCCAACCTTCACAACTATGTTAACCAATTTTACCCCCCCCCACACACACACATCTGTTCTCAAAAGAACCCTTACACTCAGCTAATGGAGAAACAGTTCAAAGGAAAATGTGTCTATTTCGCGATTTTGTGTGGAGGCAACTTCTCGTGAGTTATATAGCTTCTACCAAGAGTGTGTCGTCATCTTTCAGATTTTTTAAATTTAAAACATGTATGCCACTGACTAACAAGACCTAATCTGGCAATATATACTCATTAAATATACACAGCAAGTTCTGGGTTTTGTGTCACTTTAGTGGCAGGAGGACAGTTTTAGCTTTCTTCCCACCACCAGACACGAGGCAGTCAGAAACCACTGCTGTCACAGTGCTGGGTGTGGTTCTGATTAGAAACTAAACAGCTCCACCGAGGCCAGGAGCTTTGAGGAGCAGTAATTTATCAGCGAAAACACGCCCGAGGCAAACATAGCAGGTTTTGCCACTTGCCAGTGTGAGCTGCTTTGCCTCAACTTGAGGGCCTTTCCAATTCCCAGCTTCTCTGCGGCACAGGTGGCAAGGAAGTGAGCCGTGTACTCCACCCGCATCTGCCGGCAAGGTGGGTGCAAAGGGCCGAGCTTGTGCTGCGATAATTAGAGAAACGCTAGGATCTCAGGAAAGAGAAAGGATAGGAAGGAAGGAAAGTCGCTTTAGTGGAGTTTGGGGGCGGGGAGGTTGTAGGTTTTTTTTTTTAATCTTTCTTCCAAATATCACTTATTTACTTACCTCTTTGGAACAAAACAAAGATGTTTCATAGAAGACACTAAACACGATGGTTACTCCAAACTGCTATTGTGTCCTCTTCCCGCAAACTCAGAATACTCCTCCGGCACCAGATGTTTTGGACTGGCTGGCTCCAAAGCTCACTTTGACATCATCCTGTGGCATTCCTTTCTCTGATGTTTAACAGAGGACTCAAGTGTGACTCACACCTTGGCCAGAGACCACATCGATTGAGGCAGGCTGTACGGAATCCCAGTCCCTAATTGGGGCCAGCTTTGTGCGGCCACAGCTCGCCAACAGGAGACAAGGTTCTCTTGTCTGCGGTTAGAGAAGGGAAGGGGGCTACCCCCAAATTAAGGGTAGGAAGGAAACGGGACTGGTAAATTCAGAGAAGGGATACATACTGCGCCACTGACCGGGAAGCTAGTACCATGCCCCAGAGGACTGGATTAATGACAAGACCTGGTGTGTGTCTCTTTTGGAGGTGGCTCCCTCTCCCGTCCCTACTTATGCAAAACCACAGTGCTCTTCTTAAACTTGAGCGTGCCCAGCAATCACCTAGGACCAAGTGGAAATTCAGGTTTTGATTTGCTATGTCCAGTGAGTGGGCTTGAGATCGGAAGTGGCAATCCTTCGGGTGCTACCTTGGCCTCTGGTCTTTGGACTACATCTGTGTACAAGGTTACAGGCATGCAGTTGGCCTGCAAACTAGACTCAAACTTCTGGTGTGAGTGAACTGAGTCCTCTCAGCTACTTTTAAAGGACTGGACTCTCCTCTCTTGCACTTTGCACCCTGTGTTCACAAGAATCATTCTACTAACGGAAACAGTGCCCCAACGGAGGGAGAAAGTACTAGGGACATTTGAAGAAAGGGGTAGACATTTGCACCTACAAGCAGGAACTACAGAAGCTTTGGGCAAGACAGAGATTTAGAGTTGGCTCTTGAGAAAGGGGATTCTTCCCCGTGGTGAGGACTTGCCAAAATGATGCATCTCCAGAAGCAAATACGCAAGGCAGACACTGTGAGGCCTGCCCAGGGCACAGCATACTATTCTGTTTGATAGCCCTTCTGGGTCTCTGTCTTGTGGAGGATGGTTAGGGGAAGGGGCCAAGATGCAATGCAAGAACACCATGTATGAAAATGGTTGTGTCAAAGAGACAAGACTCGATCAAGACTGGGTTAAGCGAGAGTGAGGGCATTGACGGGGAAACCCAAATGACAATCAAGAGGCTAAAGCAGCAAGAGCTGGAAATTGTGTGGAGGAGCAGAAAAGAGGATGGCAGCGATGATTACTGAACTCTTAGGCCGGGGCCAGATAGAAGAGACACTAGAAGCATCGATGAAATGAATACTGGAGGGGATTTGAAGAAGAGAAATTTAACTGGGGTGTGTGTGTCTCGTGTCTATTCCAGAGGAGATGAATAGGACCCACACCCCATTAGAGTCGGGAGAGAGGTTGGGGCCAGAGAGAGGAATTTTGAAGTCAGCAAGGAAGAGATGCTGGCTGAAGCCTTGCTTGCCATCTCAGCCCGAGTCCACCACACGTCTTGCTTTCCTCACCATGCCTCTCAGCTATGCCTGCCCCTAAATTCCCCCAGGTTCAAACATCGCCATTGCCAGGCTTTCAGGAAAGAAGGCAGTTTGCGGGGTAAATCACAGAGGGAGATCTTGAGCCATCGAATGAAATTATGGCATCTTTGGATCTGGCAATGTGGAAAGTGCCTCTCATTTAATGCGCGTCTTCTGATAGGTCAGTTAAAAATAGAGACCTCCAGACTGCACACACAAATTGTATATCAAATAGCATCAATAGTCTTGGGTCAGTTCTTCCCACTCAGTTACACATGCTCTTGACATATATACGTTCAGTGTAGGCAAGCTAATTCCAGTATTAACCTAAGCAAAGCCATAATTAGGAACACCTGCTGTTGCTCCAGGAAAACTCTGGCACATTCCCCAAACAAATCCAAATGAACTTTCCCCTAGTCATTTTGATTATTTATACTACTCTTCCCTTTCAGTAACTGAGATGATGGGGTTGGCTGCATTTATGAGATAAAAGATGGACAGACACCCTGGATGTGACGATGCAAGGATTACTCCATTTGTCATCTTCTTGGGTGATATACCGTCAACTACCCCCAAAATACACTGGGAAGCTATCAGATCTGCAAATAAATGTTTTCACAGAGCTTGTTAAAGTATAATTCTTGTCAAAGAAGCAAAAATAAGCAGACAGAGTTAGGAGTAAATATGGCTCCGACATTCGTGGCACAATGGGCCCTGTGGAGTAAGTAATATGTAATCTGAACTCATTCTGATGTGAACTTCAAGATGACATCATGTATTTGTATGTGAGAATTTCTGAGTGAAACCAGGACTTGGAAGAACACATGGCGGGGCTCAGCTTCCTTGGAAAGGCATAGTGCTGAGAAATTACCAACCTCCGAACAGGCAAGCACAGAGGGGGAGGAAGCCTCTTATCTGAGTGTTTGCTTATGAGTCTGCCAAAGAGTTTCCCCTCCTGCTTTGTGATTCCTGAACTGGGATCATCTGGGTCTTCAGCCTTTGGCAAACAACTGAAGAGATGTGGAATATAGTCACGTATGTTTGGTGCTGTAGAATTCTGTCCTCTGAGCATAATGACCATCACCGTCTAAATCAGAAAAGCTGTGACTCCTTGCAAGAGACACCCAGGTTCATGCCTGTTCACATTTTTGGTAGAAAAAAAAAACGTGTGGTGGTGATGGGGAGGGTTGTCAGATCCTCTCTTGAGATTCTAGATACTCCATCCAACACCATCCTCTCCAAATGAATGTATCCGTGGCCTGCATCTGGCCACATGGAATCAGAAGGTGCAAGGCTAGAGTATATGGGGAGGGCATGGAAGGTTAACTGAAGGGAAACTCATTCTCTGTGCTGGAGTGAGACTTTTCAGTGACGCAGATGATTTGGGGTCGTCCACACTCCCGGAAATAACCCATCACCTATGACCCCATAGCTAAGTCCAAAAATTTCGCTGCTTCACCAAATCAGTGGTATCATTACTTCGGCTGGTCATCTGGATTGAGTAGTTGTTTGCTCTTATCTCCCAATGAGAGAGATTTTATGCAATAATGGGTCATTAGTTCTTGAATGCCCAGAACAAAATCTGCAGATGCTCAGAGCTCTTATAGAAGATTGTCATGTATACTTTCTATTCATCCTCTCAGATGCTTTAAATCATCTCTAGATTACACGTAATAACTATTCTCATATAAATAGGGAGAATATATTTGTGAGGTTCTGTTCATTAGAGAAAAATGCCATGTTGAATACAGCAGCTGATGCCGCAGGGCAATCGGTAATGAAAAGTCCCCAGACTATCTTAATACAAAATATAGAAATGGTGCAGGAGAATTGTCTATATTCTGTCAATCATGTATTTTAATAAAACGCTGATTGGCCAGGGAGGAAGTATAAGTGGGTCAACCAGACAGGAAGTAGAGGCGGGGCAATGAGAATAGGAGAAGGCTAGGGAGGAGGAAGCGCCCTCTGCCACTCCTGCCCAAATCACCGAAGAAGCAACATATGAGTTGACAGCTGAAAAAGGTACCAAGCCATATGGCTAACATAGATAATGATAATGGATTAATATAAGTTACAAGGACTAATAAGAAGCCTGACCTAATGGGCCAATCAGTTTATAATCTTATGGAGTCCTGTGTGTAATTTTCTTTGGGACTTGCCTGTTGTGGGGTACCGGGCAGGAACCGATACCCCAACAAGCCGGCCCTCATGTTACAACCAGCAACTTAAAACATACTTTTGTTTTGTTAATAGATAAATCTATAATGTAGAACCCAAAGACACAGAGTATAAGATGGCTGACCCACCTTCTCTTCACATGTTCTCTTGAGATCTCTCACCTATACATGAGCAGTCTGAGCTACATAGAAAGATACTGGCTCGGGAAAGTACTCAGTAGCATCAGTAATTAAAGAAATGCATGTCAAGCCGGGCGATGGTGGCACAAGCCTTTAATCCCAGCACTAGAGAGGCAGAGGCAGGCAGATCTCTTTGAGTTCGAGGCCAGCCTGGTCAACAAGAGCTTGTTCCAAGACAGGCTCCAAAGCTACAGAGAAACCCTGTCCCAAAAAACCAAATAAGAGAAAAAGAAAAAAAGAAATGCATGTCAAAATTACACTGAGACACCGATGTCCATGGTAGAAGAGTGGGCTAGAAGTACGAATGAATATTGCCCATGTGTAGTGTATGCATTGTGAAGATATCGCAGTGAATCCCTTTATTTTTTTTCCGTTAGACTTGTTTATTCAAGTATCCGAAAACACTCCTTCCACTTCCTCCCCTCCTCCCAATACCCTCCCGCTCCCCCCACTCCCTCTCCTCCTCCCTCACCATTCCCAAGAGCAGTCAGGGTTTCCTGCCCTGTGGGAAATCCAAGTTCCTTCCCCCTCCGTCCAGGTCCAGGAAGATGAGCATCCAAGCAGGTTAGGATCCCAAAAAGCCAGTCCATGCAGACGAAACAAGACCCAGTGCCATTGTCAATGGCTTCTCAGTCTTCATTTGGACCTTGGGGGCTCAGTCAGCCCCCATGTCAACCACATTCAGAGAGTCCGGTTTGATCACATGCTCGTTCAGTCCAAGTCCAGTTGGCCTTGGTGAGCTCTCATTCGATCAGTCCCCTTGTATCAGTGGGTGAATGCACCCTTCGTGGTCCTGACTTCCAGTGCTCCACTGTGGGTCTCCGTCTCTATGTCCATCCATCGTCAGATGAAGGCCCCCTCTGATTTTGCTTTCCTTGCTCACAATCTCCCTCCCTCTGCTTAACTTCCTAGTGAATCCCTTTAATGTGTACAATTAATACATATTAATACTAATGAGCCATGCAAAAGTCACTTACTCACACTCTTCTTTGAACTTTCTCTCCTTTTTATGTCCTTCTGTTTTGACAATGAGATGTTCCCTCATTTAGTAATCCTCTCTTCTAGCATCTGTATATAGATATATTGTGTTCTTAAATTATTTCAATTCTAATCTTTTTTTCTTTTGGCTTTTCTCTGTAGCTTTGGAACCTGTCCTGGAACTAGCTCTTGTAGACCAGGCTGGTCTCGAAC